GACAAAGCCTCAAAGTGACACAGTGAGGCTCAGCGCCGCTGCTTCAACTCTAATGTATTTAATCTGTACGCTGAGGACAGACCAGACCCAAGGAAAAAAAAAAGGATCCGCTGCCTCCGAGTCCTCAAAATAGCTACATCGATATATATGTAATGAGGAGTGGTCATGCTGAGGCATGATGAGCATATTACAAAGCGGCGGCAAGAATGACCTTTTCTCCTTCAGATGGCCTCGCCATTATTTTAAAGTCGTCCCTGCATCCCTGGAGAGTTCTCGCTCCCACGACGACGGGCCGGCCGTCTCCATATTCATACGAGAGGTCTTGCCAGATGACAGGAGGCTGCGAGCTTGTCGCCGCGTCCTTGGCCTCCGTGCGCCTCCTCTCCGGGTTTGCCCCGTTCATGCACCTTGACCTCAGCGCCGCCCACTTGATACGCTCGCTCGCTTCCAGTGACACGCTTCAAATGTGCTTTTACACCAAGGGACTGCACATTTATTTGCAAGTTCCTTTCCCGTATTGTATTTCCAAATATGTAGCAGTGTGAAATAGTTCAAAGTGATGCATGTTTCTTGCCGAGCCAGTCGAACTGTTGTAACCGCGGCTCAACTCAAGTGTGCCTGAATGCTTTCTTTGTAAAATAACATCGGGCATCCGCTAAGTAACATTTCATGAAATCGACTGCTCAAAGCTATCACTTTTCACACGTGAAGATCCGTTCCATTCTTTCCACGACAGCCTTTGCACGTTGTCGGCGCACGTCTACTTGGCCGCAAGCTGTATGCACGTTTAATGACACGGGGGCCTGTTTCCCCCCACTGAACCGTGAAGTGCGGCAATTTCATTTTACTGTGGACTGGTGACTCACGAACGGCTCTGAAGAGAGCGGCTAGGCAACGATACGCGGGCTTTCCCATGTTCACCTTGGGATCTCCTTTTCCGCTCCATCACATTACACCACATAGCCACAAATTGGAAATGGTTTTTCACAGAGTGGGAGGGGGGGGGGGGGGTTTACTGGAGTTTCAAGTCACTCAAATGAATTCTAGTCAGAGTGCCAACTTTTCAACTTGCAAAGCATCGTTAGAAGGGGGACTCCGATTGGTTCGAGTCGCGCACCTTTCTGCCACGTCTGATGGAGTGAATATGCTCACAGCTCGCAGCGCTGTCTCTGGGCGGCACCGGCCCAAACGGGTCAAGGCCCGGTACCGGTCCGCCGACCACTGAATTGCGTCATCTCAATTCTTTTATTCCCTCCATCCCTCGTGGTCAGCGGGTTCGCTTCGCTGCAAAGTCACAAGACACGAACCCCAAATAACGACCCGCCATCTGTCCTCCTCATTAAAGTTGAACATATGTTAATGCGCCCTCGCTGCAGCTCTTCTGTGTTCCTGCTAAGTCAAGGACAACACCAAATTCCTTCAACAGATTGCATGACTCAAATGCTTTATATTCTAAGATTTGGGATTTTAATCTTTTTTTTTCTCTCTCAATAGCATCCTCAGCGTGTAATCCAGACACCTGAAGCAGTATGCACTATCCACTGTCATTGGAAAGATCCGGTGGCGTTCCGTCAGGGCCTCCGAGGCCTTTTCCGCAGGTGCAAACATCGACACTGACATCCTATCTTTTTTTTTTTTTTTTTTTTAAGGCGTCTGTCTTCGGGGAGGTTTGTTCATCAATTAAGTGCAACACTAAAAGTGAAGAGGAAAGATGTCCAGAGAATGAAGATGTTGCGCAAAAGGCGTGCTCGAAATGTCTTGACTTTTTAAAAGGAGGTTCCCACACACTTCAGCAAATGAGTGAAGAGGGCAAAGAGGTGATTGTTTCCACTTTGGGGCTGAACGCTCAGGTGAACAAGAGGTGCTTGTACCTGAGAGCCACTGAGAGGGAATACTTCATGAAGTGAAGCTTGAGTGTTTCTATGGGCAGCGTCAGCGAGTGAGGCATTGCACGAAATTAGCGCGGAAGGCCATCCGGGCTGAAGGCTGCACCGCACGTTTGTCCGTTGACTTGCGTCCATTGAAACAAGCGTGAATGATGAAGGCGACCGGATCAAAAGTCCGCAGGGAAGAGAAGCCGCACGTTGATTGTTGGCTCTTGAACAATTTGCTCGACACCGCGGCTTTCCATCCATCCATGAAATCATTTTTCTTCGCCATCTTTTTGTGTTGCGGGGCGCAGGGATTCGGCGCCTCAATGACTTTGGCTGAAAGGCAGGCACCACCTCCCACAAGTCGCCGATAAATCATCGGGCACATATCCAGTTGATAGAATCAGGTCTGCACACCCCTGTTTTCACACCACTCTCATTTGATACCAATAAAATGAGAACGTCCAAATGCTTTCCGCCATTTCTGTGACCGATAACTTCGACAGCTTCATTTGGTTTTATTTATGGGGTTTTTTTTGGGGGGGGAGTAAAAAATAACAGATGATGTGGTTGCAGACCCTCAGATAAGTGGAGATGTGGCTGCGTTCAGAATGAGCCAATCACATTCAAAGACATGCAAAACGGGAGTCAGCACACACCTGCGACCATTTCAAATCGCTCTGACCGACATTACATGAAGACGCGAGGCATCTTTTAAACAAGCAACAAAACAAGTCATCACTCATTGTTGCACGACCGCAGGACCATCATTTCAAATCCAGCCAAGAAAGACGACAATTTACGGTCGGCGGAATGAGCGACCGCTCGTCCTCTGATCCAGAAACAACAAAAGAAGAAGTACTGTCCATTCTTCCTTCTCTGTGCCAAAGACAAACCATTATTGGGAGTCGACTGAAATATGTTCTCTCTGCTGAGCCCAGAGTGCGATCAACATACCATCCAAACCATTTGGAAGTGTCAGCGTATGCTTCCTTCGCCAACATCAAACGTATCCGTTCAACAAGTGAATCCCGCTTAAAAAACATCTTCCTTTGCTCTAAAATAAGCTCGGAATTGGGGGAAAAAAATACATTTCAGGATTCTGGGGTAGTTCTGTCAGGTTCAAACTAAATTATGGAGACATTTATGTGTACTGGGACAGTGGTGAATTATTTATTTTTTACCAGGCTTGAACTGGGCTTCCATTTCGCTCGGAGTGCTGCTGAGCCAATACTCGAAGTCCGAGCCTGCATGCAGATTTGAATGAAATCGAACCTCTGTAATCAGTTAGCAGTGTTCAATCTTATGTTCTCATAGAAAAAGGGCAGATCACAACGATCAAAAAACAAAAACAAACTTGGAACCAATTGGAAAGCATTTTTATCGTTCAGCAACAACAGTGACACATTGACATGCGTCCTCGTGAGCATGTCCAGGCTTCACCCGGTAGACTGGAGGGAAATTTCTTTCCACAACAGATGCAGCTTGGAAAGAACATTGTTCTCCTCTGGGGTCATTAATTTTAAATCCTCACGACTTCACTCCCCCCCCACCCCTTCAGAAAAAGCACAGGGAGAGACCGAAATAAAGAAATAAAACAAGAGGGGGAGCCGACAGCTGGAAGCAGCCATCTTGGACTTGGTTAAAAGCATAATCCCGGTCACGCTGCATCAGCAGCAAAAAGAGAGAAGGGGAAACCCCTTTGCAGAGGGTGCGTGCTCACTGCAGATATGGTTGAGGCGTGGGGCGATTGCAAGAGAATCAAATTTTCTGTGCTCTCCGGTTCGATTCTGCTCTCCGGAATTGAAAACATGCCCAAAATATCTGAGTGGATAGCTCAAGAGGAAGGAAGCAAACGCTTCAATGTACAAACCTATCTGCACGTCGCAACGATGTGTCTGCACGCTTGGTCGGCTCCCACACTACATTTCGAGTGATCCAATGAAGAAGATCAAAAATAAGTTTGAAGACCAGTTTTAAAGATGGACGACGTTCAGCGGGAGGTCATTCCCAAAAAGAAAACGATGTCCAGAGGAAGTGACTTCTTAATATGCAAGGAGATGATTAGAATCAGAATCCGAATCATCTCTATTGGCCAAGTAAGTAGAACACACAATTAGCGTACATAAAAAGCACAATGTGTGTGTGTGTGGGGGGGGGGGGTGCAATGGTGAGTACACGATGAGAACACGTGTCTCAGATTTGCTCCATTTTGAATAAATGGGAATGGGAAAACCTGCCATGTGTTTTACTCTACAAGGTTCCGATTCAAACAGTAATAAATAAACAACATTTTTTTTTTTTTTTGTTCTGTCTGTTAAGTAGCACGCATAATAAATGCATCGCATCAAATGCGCATTCCTGCCCAAACTCGGAAGCTGCCTGGTCTGGCTGAGCAGGAATTTGACAGCAAATTTTAAACCAAGAGAGTCGAGCTGCGGAAACAATTTTGGTCATGGTGAGACGGAGAAAACCGCCCGTGGCCAGCGTGCCTCGAATGGCTGATGAGCTCGCTGTTTACTCTGCGGTATGTTCGGAAAGGAAGGCTGGAACGGCGTGCCGCCGATGCGCCAGCGGATTTCATTTGGGATGCGGCATCTGCCGCGCTTGCTTCACGATGCGCGCGACGTCACGAGCGTTGCGTTGTCAACTGGCCCCCGTAAGACAACGAAAGAAGCGCGCGGAAGCTTGGAGAAACCTTCGAGAAATCAGCGAAAAGCCCGGTGCGGGTACAGCAAACAAGCAGGGCCGGTTGACGGAATTGTGAGTCGCTTCGAAACGTGTCCAAGTCACCGCAGGCAAAGATGTGACAAGGCGCGGCGCAAGGAGCCTCTCTGATCGTTCCTCTTTGCTCTCTTTCTATTTCAGGGATTTGAGACATGTCTCTTGTGATCCATTTTTATCCTTCTAACTCTCATCTTCCCACAGCTATTTTTACGACCTCTCTCCGTGTGCAAGTCTGCAAACGGATGCAACCATAGTTTGACAGTAAAATGACCCTGAATCTTGACGCAAGCATGCAGGGCCGCATTGTAGTTACGGTTTCCCTTGGAGGGCCGTTATGAATTTTGGGAAACCATTTACAGTAAATGTTTCATCACCTCCACATATTACATACAGCGCACAACAAATTGATGGATAGCTAGTTTTAAAATCAGACGTCAAGAATAATGACTGTTATTGTGGCTTATAGATGACAATTTGAAATTTTGGTTCAGACTTTAGCAAGCATCATGGAACTTGACGTCCTTGATTTGCTTTCGCGGGCCACATAAAATGATATGGTGGGTCAGATATGGCCCCCGGGCCTTAACTTTGACACTTGTAGTTTAGAGGAACAATTTGCCAAGCTTCTTATCACTTTTAATGTTGCATACAGTATTGATTGGCGACACATTTGCATCGAGGTGATCTGTAAGCAATGGAATAGCAAATCCTCCTCAGGCTCAAGCTGAACTCCTGACTTCTCTTTGTGAGTAAAAAATAAAATAAATAAAAAGCAACAATGCCTCCATGTGCTATATCTCTGTGGTGGAGAAGGATACTGTGACTTTGCAAAAAAGATTTCTCAGCAGGCAGCTCACAGTTGTCTCTCTTCCAGGAACCTAATGGAGTTCTCTATAGTCTGTCACCTTGCGTTCAACAGCAGTGCTGCGGGACTCACACAGAGGTTACAAAGATGCACTGGTGCAACTGCATTTTTTTTCAAATGGTACCGAAATGCAGCAATTATTCCTTTGTGTTGTTATAATTGTAACATCAAACAATGAAGAGGAAAATTGCATCATTTTCACTTTTTGAGGTGGGGAGTCACTGTACATAAAAGTCTTAAAGACATAATGCGTTGGAGTGTTTCGAGCCTGACATCTGCCGGTACTTTATATTGCCGTGTCGCCAGGTTCTCCTGTCACGTGACGACGTGTTTACACAAGAACGCGTTGTGGACCTGCGCATGCGTAGTTCAGTCCGGAAGAGGGCATGTTCGCGACAGTATATACTGTATTCATTACTCACTCCTCTTAATTTATCATAAACTGGCTGCATTAGCAAGTTTTACACAATTCACAGGGAGGGATTGGAAAAAATTGTCCGCGGTTCAGGGAACGCTTCAGAAAGCGGAGGTGGGTGATTTTGGACCGTGAGAGGAAGTCCCAGAGAAAACCCACGCAAGCACGAGGAAAGCATGCGAAAACCGCACAGGAGCCAAAATTCAAACCCTGAACAGCAGAACTGTGGCGCACACATCCCGACGACTTGTCCACCGTGTAGATACAATGTGCAGTACAAGTTTATTTGTTGGGACTCATTCATTTCAGGTCCAAGAGCCGAGTGAGGAATGACGCTTGCGACATATTAAAGCAATAAATGGCGCTATCTAGTGGCCAGAGGATAAAATACATCAAGCAGTCGCCTCTTTTACGGTGAGAAGCGAATAAAACAAATGCTGTATAAATAAAAATAACTAAAGAAGAAACTCACCCTGACTTGGCGGAGTAAAATATTCGTTTTACTAAAGGTGCATTTTAGGATACAGGTGTACAAAGATAGAATGTGATTCCCAATTTAATTGTTCTGCAATTGGTAAATACCAACAGTGCTGAAACTTGATGGTTAAATACGACTGTCATTACTGCTTAGCAAGTCCGCCTCACAGTGTGGAGGTGCAGGGTTCGATTCCGGCTGCGGCCTTCCCGTGTGGCGTTTCCATGTTCTTCCCCTGGTTGCGTGGGTTTTCTCCGGGTGAATTTCAAGTTCTCAGGAGCCGCCAAACCTGTCGCAGACAAATGGAATGTCTCGTCGCCCATTTGAAGTTGTCTTGACGCTTCATCGAACCATCTTTTATACACAACAATGACCACTAGAGGTCGCTAGTCGCCCATACAAATATCTTGTCTCCAGTAGCTTGGTCACGTTGGGTACCGTTCCAACAGTATTGAACTGAACTGAACGTGTCATTTTCATCTTAACAAAATGACATCATAATGCAACGAATTAGTTCCCCACTGCTTTGCAATGTGTGATCCTCTTTCCCTTCATAATCATTGATGTTGGTAAATCGAAATCATAAATCACGATCAATCATCTCAGGCCGTCTGTCAAATCTGAATGGAAATCATTCACGTCCTCCAGTAAATCTGCGATAGAAATGCTGCAAAAAAAAAAGGCTAACCACCCACCAAAAGCAAAACAAGATGGTGAAATGAAATCGATTTGCTCCGCGCGTGCACCAAAAGCGTGCACGCGCCCCGGGTGTTGCTGTTATCAATCCACCTGTTCGCGCGCTTGCATATCACGTGCTCGCGTCCCTCCTCTCGAACGAATGGAGCATCCATCGGCTCACCTCCCCCATAACGCGTCTGCATTTTTATTTGGATTGTTTTCTCGCAGCCAAGACGGCGACCGCTGCCTCTCGCCGAACGTGCCGATTGGACCCATCTCGAACCGGTTTGGAATTTTGAGTCACAACACCGCCGCGTGAGAAACGCAGTGAACGCGCCACCGTGAGGTTTTTCTTTTCTTTTTTTTTTTCCTGGGTTGTATTCTTTGACATGGGCGAAGTCACGGTACCGGTAACACCTCGCCTTCTCGTGGCAGAGTGACAACTTTATTGATCACCACAGCCCCTTTTTTTTTTTTTTTTTTTTTTTTTTTTTGCGCCCTCTAAATGGGAGCGCGTTTTTTTTCTGGGGAATTACCCGTCGTTTTCCTTTGCCAATTATGTTCACTTTTGCTGCCTTCTGCTATATGCTGTCTCTGGTTCTCTGCGTGTCGCTCATCTTCTTCGCAATATGGCACGTAAGTACTTTGGATGCGGTTTATTTTTAGATGTGTTTCGTGTCTCACAGGGCACCGTGGCAATACATTTCGTCTAAGATGTCATTGATATCGGCGGACCATTTATCCTAATTTGTGTGGGATCCATTTCCGTCAATGAGTGGCGCGCACCTGTGTCATTGATCTCCCTGTCGCATACATGCCCCCTTTTGTCACAATTGCTGCAATCTCGATCCGGATTCATCAAACCGGCAACAATATCCCAAATCAATAAATCAACATTCTTCCCCTGATCTGCTCGCGAGTCCTGCAGCTTTCCACGCACACGCGTCATCAGATCCATCCTCACCACGCAGTGTAGGAATGACTGACTGCATCATTTAAATATGTTGAGATGGAACTTTTAGAACCCACCATTGAGGTGGCCGATGCAGCTTTGCATAAAAAAATAAAATAATAATCACCATCACAATTATTGGCGCCATGATGAAACGAACCCGATCATCAGCGACGTTTTCATTCCAAATGTGGGGCTCCGCTGCATCTCTTATCAAGCTTCTCCTTAACCAGTCGTCGCCCGCCATAAGGTAGCGTACGAGGTTCCACTGAGCAAGACGAAATACTGAGCAAACGCAGCCCACAGTGGAAGCATCAAGTCAGTGAACTGATGACAGCGAGTCATGATGAAGGAAGAAAGTCCACCAAAAATTGGAGATGAGGAGCATGGCGAGGAGCCAGCGCATCACAAGGCATCCTCTCTCATCTCCCATTCATTCTGTCGTTATTTATTCTGATTCCAAATGCCACTTTGCAAGCAAATTCTTGTGCAGTCTGGCCTATTTGTCAGTATTTTTTTAATTTTGCATTTTTTTTAAGTGCCATCCATAGTTCAAAGCGCATCTCCATTAATGTGCATGGCTGAAAACAAAGCGGAGCCGCCCAACAACAGCACAGTCAGCATTGCCAAATAAGTGATAGTTACGATTTTGTTCGCTACAGTTGCAGTATATTTTGTGACTTATAAATTATATATTTATAGTAAATTCGAGAAACAATGTTTTTTGGCATGCATGTAATGCACAATTGATTTTTCAGCTTCCATCATTTTAAAGTGATGAACTCAACTGAAGTGTATTTCTAGAGCACTCGAAAACAACCACCGTTGTACGTAGATAAAGCGCTGTGCATGGAGCAAAAAGTCATTCATACAACAACAACGAAGACAGTAGAAAGCCCCCAATAAACTGTATACCTAAAAATCAGGTCTCAGGCTGAGTTAAAAGCCAAAGACTAAAAATGAGTTTCAAGACGGGCAGCGAGGCCAGTTCAAGAGTTGAAAACAAATCAGAGCATCTTTGAAAGAACTCTAAAATGGGCCAGTGAAGCAGTTCCGTGCTTCCTCTTACAAGTACCCGTCAAGAGGCAAACAGCAGCATTCTGGACCAACTGGAGATGCTGAATGGAGGATTGGCTGACTCCAAAGTCAAGTGCATTCCAGCCATCCGGCCGAGATGTGATCAAGGCATGAATTATTGATTACTATTACATTCTAATTGGGGGCACAGGTCCTCCAAAATGACACTGCTATTTCCCAGCTCTTTTAAAAATAAGGGACAGAAAGCAGACCTCGTCCACCAAACGCACGTGCTATTTTGTTTCCGGCTAAATTTATGATTTGGACGCTCGAACAATGGTTTGCGTTGCGAAGCGCTCGATTGTGTTTTCTGCTTAAGACAGCAGAAAGAGTGGCGCCGCCTTCTCCACAGATTCCCTCTCACACCGACATGTAGACACGCAGCATAACAAGATCAGGCTGCACACGGAGAGGAAACAAAATTAGGTAGCGTCTGCGTGTTGGGAATACGATGGCGGGGCTGTGGAAGCGCGTTGCAGAGCCAAGCTTTGCGCATCTCATCGAGACACCTGCCGAAAGCTGGCAACGTTGCCTCATTTACGCACTCATCCTGCCAACTTTTTTTTTTGGTGGTGGTGCTTTTAACGCAAAGTCTGAAATCGTGTTTACGCAGCGAGAGACGTTGCACGGTCTAATGCAGGAGTGTCCAAAACGACGGCCATTTTGCGGCCCGCCGTCCATTTTTCAGCGGTCCGTGACAAAAAACAAAAACAAAAAAAAAAAAAAACGATGATGAAATGACATTTGACACGGGCTGCACGGTTCGTTCAAAAAGCGAGCGAGCGTTCCAAGGCTATTACTCCCATTTCGGTTTAGAAGTCATTCCAACGCACACCTTTGAGATTTTAACACTGACATGGCGGCACGGTGGTGACGGACGAAACCGAACCCAACAATGTTGTGCCATCTGCCTTGTCCCGGTTTTTTGTTTTGTTTTGGGGTTTTTTTTAGACAGAGGAGACTGCTAGCATGACAACACGATCAGGAACAGTGACGGATGGCGGGTTTCACCCCAAGTAGATCTGCTAGCATACTGCTAAAAGAGTTCTAGCCCGAGAAGACAAGATCATTCTTCATTGATCCCCAGAGGGGAATTTCAGCCGTGCTGGGTAAAGCAGAACACCGCAGATTGTTTTCAAAAAATAAAAATACAAATCTAAATCCGATCCAAGACAGAGCACTGTAATTGGAAGACGGTGTGTTCATCGCACAAGAAACAAGAGCAGTTGCCCAAAGGGGAGTTCACAGAAGCGATTATGTAGCCGTTGTAATTAACATACCGGGTGACCCTGCAACCTCCCTCGAGCTGGAATGAATGCTCAACGCTTTTCACGAGGCCGACTCCGCTTGAGTCATTCCCTCCCCGTGTAACGGGAGCCCTCCAACGTCCTCCGTGTGTCATTAAAGCTGCAAGTGTGCCAAATGATCCCCCGGCGCACCTCCGAGAGATGGGGAAGTCCTCTGGCGCGGGGGCATGATTTACAGACTGTCTAGCCGGCGCGCGCGGGACAATCTCATCGGATGAAGAACGCGTGCTTCCGACTTCGGCGGCATCTTGAGGAATGCTTTGTCTTCAACCGCCGAGAAGATTTGCCAGAAAAAAGAATTTCATTTCTAAAGCACGGCTGCTATTCCAGGGGTGTCCAAACCTTGCTTCACGACGGCGTAAGGAGCCATTTGCATCGAAATCTCCAATAGTTTGAAGCTCAAAAGAGATCTAGGAGCAAAACAAGAATTCAAGGTCGTTTGTCATTGTCATGGGAGCCTCCGATTTCCAAGTCTCGTTTCTCTGATCGCGGAACGCCGTTAACATCTCGAATACGGAAATGGCCGCGATAGCCGAGTCAAGCTACAGAAGACTCGGGCGGGCGAGACCACAGGAGAAGAGATAAAAGAGCCCAAGGCTTATAAAGCTCCCGTGACCTTAACCGTCACCTCGAGAATGAGGGAGAAGCAAAGGAAGAGAGGCCGCCGAGACGACAAAGGATTCTCATTTTAGTGCAAATCCAAACTGCAAAAGCACAACCATCTCTTCATATTTGAATGAATGAAACGAATCACTTGTCGTGCACGTGTCAAATGAAATCCGACGCGGGCGCTCGAAGTGACAACGCGGCCGAAAAAAGGGAACCAAAGTCTCTGACTCGATGCGATCGTGGATGTTACAAAGCGCATCATACGAGTAGAAACGGCATCGCGCCGTTGCACCGAAGAGTCGCGTTTATAAATTACCGAACGGTAAACACGGTCGAGTAAACGGAGGCCCCGATAGATTCCGCATGGCGGGAGTTTCCGCCGCGCGCAAGGAGCCGAAGCGTGCGGACGACGAGGCGCCCGAGTGAGACATCGAGTGGGAAGAAATTCCGCGGCTGCGCCAATTGATTGGAATCTCAATGAAGCAAAACGGGCAACAGAGTTTTTGGCAGCGGCGAAGGCGGGGTTAATGGAGGTGGCGCTCGCTCCCAAACTGGCTCGGCTCAGCGTTGATCCACGTGTTCATTAACCCCCGCCGGCTCCTCATCCATCATCCCGACTGCGCGCGTTCGATTGTTTCATTGCACAATGCGCATGCTGTGGGGGGGGGGATTACGGGGGTGATCTTCATCCTTCCTTCGGTGTTTCATTTCTCCCCCCCCCACCCACCCCTGTTTTGTCAAACTGGCTGAAGCTTGAGCTCATCAGACTGCTGCAGGAGACCATCGTCATCGTTCATCAAATAGTCCAAAACAGGAAAGCCGTTTTTCCTCGTCTTCCGTCTTCATCTTCAGCCGCGTCATCATCTTCACGTCAAATCTGCTTTTCGTCGTGTGATCGCGGTCGACGAGGCCAACTCTCGGGAGATTTGCGGAAAATATTGAAGTCATTCATATCGTCTCTATACGACTTCGGTCTGCTCTTGATTTCTTTTTCGCAAGCAGATTCCAAAACCTCTTCATTAAATCCAACACGCGTAGTATTGATCCGTCCTTCCGGTGTTGCCTCCGAATGTTCGACAGCAGCATGCAGAAAGCTCGGAGGAGACGTCCGCGAGGAAAAGGATGAGCTTCATTTGATTTCCTGCGAGTCAAGTGAAGGGTTAACGGCGCCAAGACTATTTATCAACATCAGGGAAACTGGCTTCTCCAGCTGTCTGCCTCTGCCAAGGTGTTCCGCGCAGATACGCGCCCCCGTGGGGAGCACGCCAGCGATTAAAGCGGAAGCCAACTGCCGGCTTATGAGCTGCCGTTGTTGACCTCTGGGAAGTCTGCGGCACCGATTTCAATATTGCTTGCTAAGCCAAAGTAAGGATTAGGTCAATCTTGTCAAATGCACCTCAACAAAAAACAACAACAGCAAAAATCCAAAATGTTTTGGTTCATCTTTTCCAATTTGTTTTTTGCCAACACTCCCAACAAGGCTAACAGCAGCACGGCCGCTTTGTCGGTCCACTTTGAAACCTTTTGCGGCCGTTTTGATCAACCGTTGCGTACAAACTTGTATTGATCAAGAAAATAAAAACCACGCGCATCTTTGGCGCATTTCGCTCTGCTCCGTGGCCAAGTCAATCAATCAAAGTGGAAACCTCCCCATAGCCGCCGCGCACGTTTGCCCTACGCGACTTCCCAATCCGCAGCCGAGTGCACTCACGATAACGGCGCAACGCAATCTCATCAGGCACGAGGATAGCCTTGGGCTCGCTAACGCTGCCGCGCAGTGAGGCAATGAACCCCCGCTCACGCTTGGCATCCGCTGGGTAATAACATGGAAAAAGCTGCCCGCCAGTTACGGAGTCGAGGGAAATCATCGGGATCCGAGCAAGCCTCGGCTGCGTCTTTGAAGGGAACGCGCGGTCACGTCAAAAAACAAAAACAAAAAACCTCACATAAATTATTATATATATATATTTTTTTTTAAATTTAAAAACCCCTCTTATAATTCAGCGGTCCACTGATCCCAAAGTCCTGATATTTCTGTTTCCATTTGCAGATAACAGCTTTTGATGAGCTCCAGGCTGACTTCAAGGTGCCAATCGATCAAGGCAATCCACTCCATGCGGTTGGTGGTTTTTTTTGTTTTTTTTCCCCCCCAAAATATTTTGTTATTATGCACCCACAATTACCAGCAACACATACGATTTACTTTTTGGTATTTGCAAGAGATACATTTTTTTTCTGGTCATCTCAAACTCTGTGACAATGCACTCAATTCTATTTTTCAAGATTGATGCGACGGGATGTTGGCTCGGACACAAGCGTGTTGTCTCATCTGATTATTTGTGTAACCGACTCGTGCAAAGGACCTCCAGAATAATAATAATAATCAATGTTTGCGGTGGACGAGGTAATCTGCAGGACAGAGGAAGTCATACTAAAAGGATGCGCCCCCCCCCCCCGCCCGTTCCTCCACGAATCCTTTTTTTAAAAATTTTTTAGCCCACAGTTATGCCACCACTGCATTAGACATCAGAGGCAAACTTTCTTCCCTTGAAATGACTTCTCCTTGTCCTCCGAAACGCTTAAAATAATGAAAAAGCGGCAAGAGGCATTTTATGCTCTTTTTTTTTCCACTCCCACGTCTTTTTTGCGAACTCTGAAATGAGGTCGAGTCCCAGATGTGACGTTTGGGATGAATCGGAGATGCAAGCGGTTGAAGACATGATTGCCTTGTTGGCGTTAAACTATCTCGAGTCGATTTCCTGGAGACCCCGTCTCACTTGAACGACGTCAGCCCTAAAAATCGGATTGGATCGGGAATCGGATTTGAATCCGAAATGCCCGAACGCGGCCTCGGATGCGCTGCTGTAATCAAACTTCATTTCCAGGTAGCTCCCGATTCTGACGGCAGGCGGCTTGCGAGAAGCACAAGAACAACGATTCTGACACTCGACTTCATCAACAGAAGCCAAAGTTCCACACGCTCCATTCTTACGAAGCAGCACCGCTGCCGGGGAAAACCCAGAATGCGGCGGCACGGGAATTGGGTTTAATATTTGATGATGACGTTAAAAGCTAAAGTGAAACGGCGGGCCGCTCGAGTCAGCACTTTGCCGAGTGCTGATTTGTGCTCGGGAAGCTTTTGACACGTTATTATACAAGCGGAGAAGCCGACACATTATTCATACGGTCGCGGAATGTTTTCCTCAACTATTTGGGAGCTGCTTGATGTCGCGCCGCAACGACGTGCGCTCATCAACTTCGTGCCAAGCGATGAGCTCTTCCACCGCTTGATGGACAGTCTCGGGTGGTGAGAAGGTCACATGACAAGTTCAATCGCATGACCACCATCAAGCCCCCAACATTCGACCTCCTAAAATCAAAACGGTCTCAAGCAGAAACAAAAGCCAACACAAACACCGAGCGCCTTTTCGACGACTCGAGTTCATCGTGAAGTCGATCGCCTCAGCGCAGATCGTACAAGACGGACACCGGGGTGCCGTAAATGCGCCTCGCCGACTTGGTTTGCTTTTGCTTTGTCGTCTTGCAGAGGGAGAGACTGCGAAACATCGAGAGGATCTGCAACCTTCTGAGGAAGGTGAGCCGCGTCCGGCCGCTTGACGGCTCCGCGTCGTCGCTTTTGTCGTTTCAAGTCATATTGGGCTCGGTCTTGTTTATTTTTCCAACTTCCATTATTATTACGATTATTATTTGGGAGTTTTGAAGTCAGTCTCGGGTGCCTGCGGTGTCTTTTTTTTTTTTTTGCCTCATTATGGACTGAAATTAAGGCAACGCAAATTGAAACGCAGCTCCATTTTGCAATTGTGTGTGTGTGTGTGTGTGTCACACATCACAATCACATCAAGTTAAAAAGCAGCACTTTGATTTTACAGGTGGAGTAGCAGCATGATTTTTGAGATTTTCAAAATAAAATAGAGCTTCAAGGCACTTCCATTCCAATAGTGGGGGGGGGGGGGCTTAAATGTCTCACATATGGTGAGTGACGAGCCCCTAAGTGACTATTTTCCATCTTTGCGCATGAAATGCAGAGTTCACAGAGTATCTTCTCGTTCTGTGTTGTGGTCGCCCGAGGCTGTGAAATGGGAGGATCTGCGCCATGCTGACTGTTTTCACCTCTTTGATTGATCCAGTGCTCTTTTTCCCCTCCATTGAACTATTCAGCTCACTCCAACTGGTGCAGTGACAGCGCGGTGGTCCTGATTGATTTGGGTGAAAGCCTTGGCTAATGGTTTTTTGTTTTGTTTTGTTTTCTTTTTTTTTAATGCTGGCAAAGCCACATTTGCGTTTAAGAACAAGCAGAAAAGAGAACGCGCCATTTTTGGGCCTCACGCTTGTGAGTTGGGTTGGCTTCGATTTTTTTTTTTTTGTTGTTTTTTTTTGTAAAGCAGCAGGGGTGTCGGTGACAACGCCGCCAGAAGGGTTGGGCTCTTTCGGTACAAATGCGAATGTTATTCATGAGATGTTCGGGCGCGTGGCTTGAAGCAATGAGCCAGCACGTTGTCACAGCAACTGAGCGAGGGCACTCATTAAAAAAATCGTATTTTTGGTGTACTTGCTTTTCTGCACTTTTGTGCACTCTCTGAAACCGGCGACTTTCATCAATAAGAGATGGACGACAGCTTGTCCTGATTAAACGGTCCTCAATGTTTTGAGTTTGTTATTTTGGGGGGGGTCGGAACTTTTCTGTGGCTCCTTCCTCTAATTTTGTCACGCTTTCAATCTCCCGCTTTCCTTGCTTCGGATTGTGGCTGGCGACTTTTGAGGGCACGTCGATGAAAGCTTTCAAGGGGGGTTTAAATGGTGGAAGAGGGATAACTGCCAGCTTCTGAACAACGGTGAGCCAAGAGATTGACTCCGACAACGACCAGCAGCGGCTGCTGTGTCAGAAAAGCCAAAACCAAAGAAATGGTTTGGTTCAGAATTGAGCCACAAG